CTTCCTGCCCGCCCGCGCCTCTTTGCTTAGAAAATCATTTCTCAGAACCAGAGAGCCCCTACTCCTACGCGCCCAGATCTTTTCCCAGTAGCTTGCGTGCGCCTGCGCAGATCCTCCGCCAAGCTCCTTTACAGAGCCCGACCGCTTCTTTCTCCAGCTCTCTTCCGGTCTCTTCTCAGCTCCAGTTTTTCCCTAAGGGGTCATCACAGGGCGCCAAATGCGCGCCCGCGGGAAGGCCCGGGGCGGGGCGCGGCGCGGCGCGGCACGTCAGTGGCCTTCCGGGCGGAAGTCCGCAGCCTCCCAAGCCTCTGATTGGCTTTCAGGCTGGCGCCTATCTCGGCCCCCGCGCCAGTTTCGGGCTGGTTGGCGCGGAATCGGGAGACTGCGGGACTATGGCGCCTGTGCATGGCGACGACTGCGAACTGGGGGCAAGCGGTGAGGGACGACTCCGCACTCAGAACACTGGTTGGGAGTGTGGGGACAGCAGCATGATTGCGTGTGGTGGTGGTGGTGGTGGGGTCTTTGCTTTATTTCTTCCGAAGGAGGCGTGCGCCGGGTTCGCTGTGCGGGTCTGCTTGGGCTCAGACCTTGTGGTTCAGGGCGGGGGCCTTTCGGGTGTCAGAACCAGCATTCTAGTAGGGCGACTTGCAAATCCGAGCCACCCGTTGCAGGGTTTTCTGTTTGGGAGACTGTCACATCTCTGTCAGCAAGTGACCCCTTTTAAAAATTCCTTTGGTAAGTCATACCCACGTGTGGGAACAACTTCAGCGAGACTGGGGTCGGTGGGGCACTGGCCTGATCGAGGGTATTTCACTTCTCCCACCCGCTTGAGGACTAGACAGAAGATATTTGCCCCTCCCTTGCTAGGAACTCCCGGAAAATTGTTACACTTTCTAACTAGGCAGGAGAGAAAGCTGCAAGTGCTGACACCATATACAAATGCTTTTTGTCTTTTTAGTAATGGATTTCTATTTTATGCATTAACATTTTTTCTTTCAAATTATTCTATGGAAAGTTCTTCAAGTGCTGCTATTTTTTAGCGTTCAAATCTAATCATTTTGGCGAAGTTCCTAAAAAATACATCAATTCAGCATTTCGGGTACATTGTATATCACTCAGTTTGTCAGTGGTAATCTTTTATTTCCAAAAATAGAATACAAAAATGCAAAT